AGTAACAAAATGATAAATATCTTGGGTGTTCAGCCAACCAAAATATTGGCAAATAAATCTTTGATTCAATCCAATATGTGCTTTTATTTTTATAGATATAATACTAGACGGGTGACCCGGGCTTCGCCTCGGGATTGACCCGTGTGCATATCCACCCGAGTGATATATATTTAGATAAGATTTTTTTTTATAATTGTTTGTTATTAGCATTATCTATTTGTTTGCATCAGCATAATTTAATCTAATCTTTGATAGAGGACGCTGTTCGTGAGCTAAGTAGAATAATTTGAATATATAGTTTTAATAATTGATTTATATATTTTTTAAAATAGCCTATCGTCTTCCCCGTATTTTTTTACCTATGTATGGAAATTTTGGTTTGAATTAGTGAACTACTGCGAATTTGTATACCGGACATACAAACAAACAAACATACAAATATTGATTTTTATATATATAGATATAAATGTAATTATTGTTGTTAGTGTCCATCAAGTAGAGTTTTGCCGACTCTATGGACCAATATTCTCCAATCTGATCTAGTAGTGACAGGATCCATTTGGAAGGCAAGGACCTTGCAACTTTAACAATTCAACATATCTATTGTTTATAAGAATGGTAAAAGATGCATTGTTTCTCAAGAAATCCTCTCTCAGAATTAAATGAAGATAACATACCAAAATTGTCTTCGATTACTGAGAAAAGAGCAAAGAAGCAATGTACAGATCAAGAAAATAATCCAGGAATTTTTTTTATTATTTTTATTTATCCCAAGTACACATGGTACAGGCCATGATAATCATTAGCGACTACTTTTACTGTAAGTGCACCACATGTTTGCACTTACAAATGTGCCAGAGCCCCATTTGGTTACTTGCACTTGTTGGTGGGGCTGGACTTTTGCAAGAATAAGGGGCCATTGGAGCATTTTTTTTTTAATTAGAAAAAGTGCCCAAGGTGGTGCTGCTGCTAATTACTATATAGTAAATGATATCATAGAGATATGGATTTCGATTTAGAGAGAATATTGTGTAAACTGATTTTTTTTTCAGGCAATTTCTGGAAAAATAATTATGTTAAACCTTTTGTTGATATAAAATGTGTAATTAAAATAACTCAATACCCATTTAATAGTAAAAATGTAATAAATGATTAAAAAAATGATTCACAATAGTTTGGCTGACCTTGGACATACCTAGGCTGAGTACTCGCTGGAGTGGAATACAACAACACTGTGTGGGGCAACATGGCCTGTAAAATGGGATTACTTACATGGAGTTGAACATGCTAAGGAGAGAAGTGAAGACAAATCCTATGACAAACATGGATTTCATCTTCCCCTGGGACAACAACAACAACAAGGTTAGGATTTATGATCACTATTTATCTTATAGTGATAGCTACACATCTACTTATATATTTGCCTTATTCTGTCTGTTTGTTTGTCTGTTTGTCTGAAGCTCACGGATAGAATGCGCGCTCTTTGGCTGCCAGGGAACACGTGTCCTCCCTGCCCCCCTCTAGACAACCCTGTTATTCAAAAACCATACATCCAATCGCCATGAAATTCTGGGATATTATTAGGTATATCCCCGGAAAGGTTTTCGAAAAGTAATTTCTTGAATATCTTGAATATCCTTAGAGTTATTTGCAGAATTGTAGATATAGCTCGCAGGCAGCGCCACCATTGCGACGACGGAGATAGGCTTAAGTTTGCTGCTCCACCCCTGTTGACCTTGGGTCATTGTGTGAGTCACAGCATGATGCAACAAAAACACTCTCTCTGGGTATTGCGGCGTCAACAACCTGTAAGTTTGCCTCTCTCATAAACCTGTCTATACAGACCACCCTGACTATAGCGACCACTCTAGACAACCCTGTTATCAGCTGCCTGTCTATACAGACCACCCTGTCTATAGCGGTCACCTTAGGCAACCCTGTTATCAGCAGTGTGATACATCCACCTGTCTATACAGACCACCCTGTCTATAGCGACCACTCTAGACAACCCTGTTATCAGCTGTGTGATGCATCCACCTGTCTATACAGACCACCCTGTTAATAGCGACCACCCAAGTCAACGTTTTTAAAATATATTCGCACTCGGGTAAACCCCGGGCGTTGCCCGGGCCATTCGTCTAGTACATTCATAACTTGAGAATGATAAGGCAAAATTGACTAGCTAATATTTGGTAACCTGTGATGGAGGGATTTATCAACAACACAATGTGCATATATATATATACTGTATATACAGTAAAACCCCGCTAATACGAACCCTGGATATAACGAACCTTCCCTTATAACGAACCCACACCGATTCCCAATTCCATTCCATTGAAAATACCATCGTTATAACGAACTTTGCGATTTTTAGAATAACGAACTACCCCTATAGCGAACCTATTTTCGGTCCCAAAATAATAAAATCTATTTAAAATACTATGCTTATAACGAACATAGAATTGTAATTGAAAAATAATAATAATAAAACAAAATTTTGAGCATGTTTCAGCTCGCGGATCGCGATTTCAAAACAATAAATTTAGCGGCATTGTTTGTTTTGAATTTTGCACTTTATTTTTGCTGTATTTTGTATAAATTTTAATACATTATACTTTTTATTAAATAGAATATATTTGCATCCATTAAATTTGAAATATAAAAAATGCAAATGGCTTCCAAAATGAAGAAAACAAAGGCATTTTAAAAACAAAAGCGTTATTTCTTTAAAAAAAAAAAGGCCATTTTCAGAACTTTTCAAAGTGAAACCACACAGGCAAAATGTTAAGAACATATTAAAATAAGAGAATATAAATTTTATATTATAAAAAAGATAAAATATAAAGCTATTAAAAATTGTTACAAAGAGGAATCAACCTCAACTTTTGCCGCGATCGCGATCGTACGTTTTAGGGCTTAAAAAAAAAAAGTCCAAATAAACGGTCCCATGATGAAACAAAAATTATTTTTATGCCATTAACTATGGTGATTTTAAAGTCAGCAATGTTTTGCATGACAGGTTAAAAACGAAATCTAGACCTTGAAGAATATGTGGAAACATGAAATGGAAGAAAAACACTAACTTTATCTGAATGGTGCAATGCTTGAAGAGTGCTTTGAAGCAACAAGGTATTAGAGCCATTTTTCCAAGTAAACATTGTATTATATAATGTGATAATGATGTTTTAAAATCATTTTATATCTTTGAATATATATTTAATAAAACTTTGCCTAGGATTTGTCTTGATTTTTAAATCAAGTGTGTGTATGGCCGTCCTTTAATTATACAGTCTAAAAATTTTGAAAAGTAAAAAAAAAAAAAGCCAAACCGTGGCTATAGTGAACCAAAAGCTCTGTCCCATTGGGGTTCACTATAGAGGGGTTTTACTGTATATATATATATTATGTTAAGAGAAGGGGGAATTCGTCAGTGCTAATTTGCCATTGTGAACACAAGTTATTGGGAGGGCCATATCAATGGTTTCTCTGGTCATCAGATTACTACAACTCTTGTTGTATTGTTTATATTTGTGTGGTTATACATCTAACATCACTTGGGACACCTTAGACTTATGATGTGTTATAATCATGATGCTTAATAGCGGGGTTTCTATATTGCATACAATAGCAGTCTAGAAAATACCAAAACTGCCTGCACAGTTCAACCACTGATGAAACAGTTGCTCCTAATATTTTATTTTGGTTCTGTAATTTTAGAACATTTGTCCTAGGTAAATAACAGAGCCATCTTTAAGAGTGCTAGTTTTACACTAGTGTTATTTCAAACTCATAACTCCCATTAAAATGAAAATAAGCATTTGTAAAATACAAGGTTGTCCCAAAAGTTTGTAAACACTTGCAAACAATTGAAATACCAATTTTATTTGCCGTTGTGTAAAATGTCTTTGTATTTGCCCCATAATAATATTATTCGCCAAGTAATATGAATAACCAAACTTTTGGGACACAAACTTATAACTTTTATAAAAAATGTAAAATCAAATTAGGAATATGTGTGTATAAAACAAGACCAATCCATCACGTTGTTAACTAGCAGTGTTATGATATCTATGTATATGTTCAAATTGGAACCAATGATTTTTGTGCTACATAATTTTGTTGTTTTTTTTCAAAAATGTCTATAAAATAATTCCATCATCCTTGAATCCCCCAGCAGTTTGTTCAATAAGATCAACTGCTACACCTATATGTGTGACTATGTAATTATGAGTCGTTAGCTCGTGTACTAGGTGTACTGGCCTGGTTGATAGAGCCAGGGCTCCTCTCCAGGGATATGGAGGAGCTACCTCTGTACTCATGTTAAGAGTCTGCAGCAAAGGCATCTGCTTCCATGTTTGGAACGACCTCAAATTACAGGCAAAGTCAGACTTTAACCAAAGTGTGCCTGGATCATGGTACCATGATCAACGAAAGCTGCACCCCTACACCCCATTTCAAATGTTGATTTGCATGCTGCAGCTCGAGGAGCATGGACTCATGGATTTTGTGTAATTTTTGCACAAGGGGATAAGAAACAACACTATGTAATCAGAATAAACATTATAGCCAAACACAAGGTAAAAAGACCAAACCAAATAAATAGTATTCAACGTTTCAGTAAGAGCGTTGTTACCAAAACGGCACACACTATTTATTTATTTGGTCTTATTACCTTGTGTTGTTTCTTATCCCCTTGTGTAAAGATTACACGAATTCCATGAGTTCATGCTCCTCGAGCTGTTTTTTGATGAGCAGCGGCCCCTCGCAAAGGTCCTGTTTAGTGCATCTAATGCAAGCCAAAATGTGTTCTGGAGCTGCAGGTACCAAACTACATTTTGGGCAAGTGGGGTAGATTTTGTTATTATTTTCTATCTTCAATGGCTTGAGATGGCCTGTTCTAAATCTTGTTAGTGTTGTTTGATGCTGTCTATTTCTGATGTTCAGAGCTTCTCCTGGGTTCACTCCACTGTACCAACTGTGCTTAGGTGGGATCCTCCGGTTCTTGTTTATTTTTGTTTTGACTATTGTTTCTATTTCTTTAAAAGTAAGTTTATTTTTCTGTGGCAAGGGTTCTTTTGTGCCTTCTTTCGCTAGCACATCAGAAGCTTCATTGCCTTCAATGCCAACGTGTGAGGGTATCCATTGAAGGTGAATTTTTGAGGTTTTTGAGTTTTTGGAGATAACAAATTATGTTCCTGCTTACTTTGTCTGGCTTACTTTGTCTCGTTGTATGGCACTTCTACTATCAGTAAGAATCCAGATATCTTGATAATTAGTATTTCTGATGGATTTTAAGGCTTCATAGATGGCTATAAGTTCTGATCTGAAGACTGAGCAAAATTCTAGGTTTCTTCTGTTCATTTTCTCAATGCCATTTGTGGTTTTGATGAGACAGCCACTGCCAGTGTGTCCTAGCTCGTCTCTGCTACCATCGGTATAGATAGTTATTGCATTTTTAGGAATGTTATTAATTATTTCTAATGATAATTGTTTTAAGTATTCTGGATTTTGGTATTGTTTGTTGGTGGGTTCATTTAAAGTGGCATTAAAAATAACATTTTGTAGTGGTTTGCATGGAGAAATTATTTCTGCTAAATAATTTTTTTTTCCACTTTATATTTTAAAAATCCATTTCTTTTGCCCAGGTGAAGAGGGCTTTCTTTTTTGAGTCCTATATTGGATTCCCAATTGAGTATGTAATTGGAAGTTCTGTGTTTGTTTCCATAACTTTTGATTTTGTTTATATATTTTGGCAGATTGTTGCTTCTTCTATCCTTTAAGGGCATAATGTCTGCCTCGTAAAGTACAATATCATTAGGGCAGGTATTTCGAAGACCTGTAATAATTCTAGCTGCACTTAGTTGTATCCTTTCCAGTGATTTTAGATTTGTTTCAGATGCTGTACCATAGATTTGATATCCATATTCCAGGATAGGTCTAATTAGAGATGTGTAAATTAATTTTAGTGTGGCTGCATCGGATCCCCACTCTCTTCCTGAAATATATTTCAGGATTTTTAGTCGGTCTCTTCCTTTTCTAATAACTTCTCCAATATGTTTACTCGAGTTAATTTCTGGATCCAGAGTCTTGTTCAAATCTCTTTCTGCTTTTTTCCAGTTAGTATTGCTGCTCCATAGAATAATGTCATCAACGAAAAGTCCAATATTGGTTTTATCTGAAATTTTTTCTTCTATGCCTGCAATAAATAGGGTGAAGAGAGTTGGGCTAAGGACTGATCCTTGTGGTAATCCTTGGTACAATTTGAAGGTTTTAGATAGAGTGCCATTATATTTGACCCTGATGTATCTATTTTTAACACATTGAGCCCGTAGGACATGGATCCACGTCCAAGAAATATAAGCCTGAAGCCCGCAGGACGTGGATCCACGTGGCATAAAATCGTGGCATAATTCACGTCCTTCGGGCTTCTGCCATCAAATAGCTGCATCATTTGTCTACGTCAGTGCTCAAGGTCACACGCAGGGGAGGGTGAAAGGGGCCCCATTGGAGGATTTTTCCATGACGTCACTTCAGCTCACGTTTCTTCCTCCTGCCGCTAGCTTCCTGGACGGTTGTTATTTTATTTATTGCCATTTTTTTTTTTTGCACTCTCTTCTAAAATGGATCTTGATCAACCCAGTACCTCAGGAATAGCTCCAATTACAGAACCTGAGGAGTTTGGTGACGATTCTGTTATTGATCCAGATTTTGTTTTGGATGAATATGATTCAGATGCAACTGAAATTTATTTTGAAGAAGATGTTGCTCCTGCCAAAAAAATCACTTCTGAGGATGGAGAATGGACCGAGGTCGGTGACCCTTTTCCTAAACCTTCTTTTTCTTCTCCTCATGGTCCAAATAGTGCCTATTTTCCCGACACTTCTCCCTATTCAGTATTCAAGTTATTTTTGATGAAGAGTTTTCAGAAACGTAAAACTTGAAACTAATAAGTATGCAAGAGCAAATATTGATAGGGAAAGGAAAAAAGGCCCTTTGAGCCCTAGAGGTTTTTTGGATAAATGGAAAGCCATTTCGGTAGGAGAACTAAAACTCTTTCTTGCCATTATAATACATATGAGCCTTGTTGTGAAGCCAAGGATAAGAGATTATTGGTCAACTCACATAGGCATCAAATCATCTTTCTGCAAATCAACAGGCATGAAAAGGGAAAGGTTTGAAGCCATTCTTTCTATGCTGCATCTCAATGACAATGCAACTTATATTGCCTATGGACAACCTGGATATGACCCTCTTCACAAACTACGGACATTTTTCGACCCTCTCGTTCATAAATTCAAAAATGTTTACCAACCAGATGTGAAGCTTACCATTGATGAGGCTATATGCCCATTTCGTGGGAGAATCCATTTCAGAGTGTACATCAAAGGAAAGCCTCACAAATATGAAATAAAAATGTACCAATTGTGTGAGGCCAGTACTGGATACACATGCAATATTGATGTGTATACAGGAAAACACCCTGATAAAGCTGCAGAGTACAACTCCATAATGAGTTTGGTTGGAAGATTGGCTGAATCAAATTTTGAAAAGGGGCATATCATTTACTTTGACCGCTGGTTTTCTTCTCCACAACTGTTTGAACACTTATGGAGCAAGAAAACTATTGCTGTTGGTACAGTAATGCAAAATAGAAAAGGCTTGCCAAAAAAGGCTTTTTCTAAAAAACTCAAAAAAGGTGAAGCCATCATCCAACAAAAAGGACCCCTTCTTGCAATGAAATGGCGGGACACCAGAGAGGTATTTATGCTCTCTACAAATCAAGAGGCAGAAATGATTCAGGCACCTAAAAGATCTAAAAGAACTCCAGAACCAGAGCTAACAATGAAACCAGCGGTGGTTGTTGATTACAACAAAAATAAAGCTGGTGTTGATCGAAGTGATCAATACATGTCCTATTACCCTTTCTATCGTAGGACAATGAAGTGGTGGAAAAAGGTATTTTTCCACCTTTTCAACCTTGGTATCGTAAATTCACAAATTATTTACAATAAATTGAACCAGGACAAGAAATTGAACCTAAGAGAATTCAATTTGAGAATTTTAGAAAAATTATTTGAAGAGGCAGGTGTTGAAATGTTGGATGAGCAGCAAGGTGCTTCTGGTTCCCCAGATAGGCTTTTGGGGAAGCATTTTATAACCAGAATCAAAGTGGAAGGGAAAGAAGGCCATATATTCAGAGAAAATGTAAAGTCTGTTCCGAAAAAGGAAAAAGAAAAACAGGAAATAGAGCAAGGAAGGATACTGCATATATGTGTGAGACCTGTTTGGTCCCACTTTGTCTAGTTGACTGCTTCAAGATTTACCACACCAAAGAAAATTTTTGGGCTTAATCTCAATATTATTTGATTTCTTTATTTTATTTCCCTACATATTTTTTATTTTCTTCATCTAGATATGCTATATACATATATTTTTGCAACCATATATTATGGAGTGAATTCAATTTTTTTGTATATTTTTACCTATTTTATATGTCTCATATTAATTTTTTAATCATTTATAAAAAAAATTTTGCAGTCTTATAAGTTACTAGAAAGGGTATATAAGTAATTTCAAATAAAATAATTAATGTAAGTAATCAATTTTGTGATTTATGAATTTTTTAACAACACTCAAAAATGCGCATCCCAGCGGAATTTGCCCTTCTTTTTCTCACGGGCTCAAAGTGTTAAGGAAATCATTTATCCAAGTGATAGCTGTTCCATCAATTTTGAAATGTTTGTATAATTTTGTAATTAACTTGTTTTTCCATACTTTATCAAAAGCTTGTGTAAGGTATAAAAAAGCAGCTATTGTGTGGTTAGTTGGTGTTCTGTTTTGTGCATCTTTTACCTTTTGTGTGAAAAATAAGAGTTGGTCTATTGTCCCATGTCCTTTCCTAAATCCATATTGTTCTTCTGGTAAGAGATTTCTTGTGTCGAGGTGGTAGGTGAGTCTCGTCTGAGTATAATTTTTTCCATTAATTTGGAGCAAATACTTGTGAGGGAGATAGGTCGGTAGTTTTTTGGGTCATCAGCAGATTTGTCAAGTTTTTTAATAGGAATTATTGTTGCAGTTTTCCAGTCTTGAGGCAATTTTCCAGTTTTCCAGGAGTTATTGAAAATATCAAGAAGTCTTTCTTTTCCATTTTTGCCCAAGTTTGATATCATTTGGCCATGGATTCCATCTGGCCCGGGAGTCTTGTTCAGGTCATTGTTTTCTAATGCACAACCTAGCTCTTTCATACTGATTTTTTCATGGAAAATATTATGAGTGCTAGTGATGTTTTTACAGTCATGGATAATCTTTCGGGCCTTTTTTCAACTTTCTAATTTTTTATTTCAAATTTGATTTTACTACTTATTTGATATGAATTACCTAAAAGATTAGCAGCATTTTTGTCATTAGTTGCTGGGGTACCATCTGTATTCTTAATCATATTTGTGTTTCCAGTTTGTGGCTGGGCTCTGTCAATTTGTTTAGCCAAATGCCAAAGTTTTGTATTTGGGTTTCTTGGGTTCAGGTTTTCACAAGTGTGTTTCCATTTTTCCCTTTTCATATTTACGTATAATATTTTTATTTTTGCATTCACAATGTTCAGTTCAGTTCAGTTCTACAATTTGTTTGGTTTTGGGTGCACTTTTTTGTAGTTCATTTATTTTAGTTATAAGTGTTTGAATATCTTTTGCCTGGTGTGTATAATTTGGAATCCATTTCTTAATTACCTCTTGGTATTGAAACTTTGGCTGCTTTAATAATGGTGTTTTTGAAAGATATCCAATTTTGTTCCAGATCTTTTATTCTAGTGGGTGTTTTTCTAAAGTCTTCATTGGTGTTTTGCTGGTAAAGATTCCAATTAGCTTTTTTGAAGTTCCAGAATTTTTCTTTAATTGAGCTGGTTTTGGTCTTGGTGCTAATTTCTATCAAAATAGGCAAATGATCACTTCCAATACTTTTTAATATTTGCCATTTGCATTTGTGGAAAATTTCAGGACGGGAGAAACTTATATCAAGTGCTTGCACGGTATTATAGCTGTAGGAATGGTGGGTAGGATTCCCATCATTTAAGCACATGAAGGCATTGTCGTCAAATAAGTTTGAAAGTATTTTTCCTCTTGGGTTTGGCGTGGAACATTCCCATAGTTGATGTTTGGCATTAAGGTCACCTACAATAATAGTGTTGTCTGTAAGAAATTGAGCCATTGTTCCATCGTCAATAAGTTTATTGTTTGGTGGGTGATACATATTGAATATGTTGATGGTTTTGTTTTGATTGAGGTAGACTTTGATACCTTGGGCTTCTAGGTCTGATGTGTTTGGAATATTAATGGCTATGTCTTCATAGTACAAATTCTTGATTAAAAATGCAAGGCCACCCTCTTCTTTATTTCGGTCTTTTCTGAGGATATTGTAGTTTTTATATTTGAGATTGTACTTTTCATTTAATTTGGTTTCCTGTAGGGCTATAATTTGTATCCTTTGTTTTTCAGCTTTTTCCATTATTTCTTCTAATTTTATTTTTGTTGCTGTTGAGCACAATCCATTTATGTTGCACTGCAGAATGCTTAATTGCTTGGAAGTTGCAAAGTGTGAAGTGTGATTATAATCTATAATCCAAATTGAGCCTTTTAAATTTTAGATTATAACCAATCAATTATAATGTGCCATCTATATATAAATATATATAATAAAACTATTAAGCACAAAATTTTCTTCTTCAAATAAACTTTTCAGTGTCCTTCAACAATAAGATACAATTTGGATTATAGATTAGAAACACAAGGTAATATACCAAATCCAAGTAAATAGTGCGTAACGTTTCCGTAACAGGGTTGTTGCCGAAACGTCACACACTATTTATTTATTTGGTCTTATTACCTTGAGGTGCCTTATAATTAATTCCAAGCCTAACAAGTCTTGTTTAAATTGTTTGCAGAAGAGCATTGCTCAATGCAGTTATTTATATGTAATCCTACTGTTCTTAGATATCCATTGTTTGCTCTTAAAAACCATAACCAAGATTCCACATTTACAGTATAGCATATATAAGTACATTCATTCAACACGGTATTACAGCTCTAAAAAGCAGTACATTAGATTATAATGCAACCACTGGATGGGTTCACCACTGATGAGCCAAGCCCTCCCAATATTTTTCATCGCAGTAAGTGCTTTATTTGAAAAAAAAAAATTGAGCTTAATATGGCTTTATTGCTTAGTAGAACCTAGTGGTATGGTGAGTAGATAGAATGGGGGAGTCGGACAATCTCAATATTTTCACTTAGGTACAAACAGCACCTAGAATATATTCCTTCTTCACATTGTGGTGATATCTACTTACAAACGAGAGGTCGCGGTTGTTGTTCTTTAGCTTCTCCTCTTCTCTTTCTGAAGATCAATCAGAGGGTGAGAAGAGGCCAAGTGCAGCTATTTGGGCAACTTACCGATCTTCTTCTTCTGGGCCTTGTCTGCTGAGTCTCCATGGGTCTCCTTGATCTTCTCCACTACAGGCAACACACCACTTCTCACATATCCAATTCTTTCATATTCAATAGAGAGATCTCATTTTAGTATTTTTGTTCCCTAAAAAAATCCAAGAGTCTTTTTAAAATATCCAGTTGGCACAGCATCCCTCTTTTCTGGTTGGAACTTTCTAAATTGAATGTTGGCCAATAGTCTGGAATAAACTGGAATAAATGATTTATAAAGAGTGCTTTGAAAATTATATATATATATTTTTTATGATAAGAGACTTAATACACTAGAACATCCACGAGAGGACACCTTTCTACAAAGAACAGTTTTCATTTGCAAAATTACCATTTTTACTATTTAGCAACTCTCCAGTAAGAGGACACCTCTCCCAAAGGACACTTTGGCTCTGCAATTAGATGTCCTTTACAGAGAGGTTCTACTCTACTAGGATTTATAGGATAAGGGCTGTAGAAATACATTTTAATTATATATTTAAAAAAAATATTGTAAAAAAAATGTTTTAGTTGATATGTTGTTGTGATGTTTCAGTGATAGAAGGCGATAAGTTATTGAGGATGTTTTAAAGGTTGCTTTGCATCTAAAAATACTCATTTAAGGGTAGTCAGGATAATCCAAATTAGTCATTTTGCTGCCTGATCTTTTTCTTTTCAAATAAATCTAAATACAATGGAGATTGTATAAATTCATCAAACCTCATATAAATTATTATCTCAAAAAGTTCAGGCAAAATTGTGATTTTTATTGAAATGTGTGGATAGATAGTCCAGTGGGATCAGAATTTTCTGTTAAAATAAAGTCAGAGTGGTGAATTATAGTTGGTCAAGATTATCAATTCATCATAACATTCACTCTGTAAGTGGATATTTTTCACGGCCATTATTAAATTCTGTGTTGAATTAAATATGGTAATTTGAAAGAGGTATGTTTGGGATTTGAAAAATTGGTTGAAATGAAGGAAGTGTTGAATTAGAGTTCTTTGAATTAAAGAGATTATACAGCAATTTGATTACAGACTAAGTAACAACGTAGGAAAAAAAACACAACAAAATTCTACACCACATTATTGCAACCACCATCATAATTTAATAAGGTTTGATGATGGTACCAGAATGACACATGTTGTTTATTTATACAAGTTGAATGCTGAATTATTTATTGAGATTCGGAAGCCATGGCATTTTTAATGAAATGTGATTGATACCAAATAGTTGAACAGCACCTGGAATGGAATGAAAGCTGATCTGTGCTTCTCTATTACTTTCTGGACCATGCCAACCATCCATGTTGGGTGAATATTTATTATTTTAAAACAAATAGCAAACACTTAACAATTGTGAAAGAACAACGAGTACAATGTATAAAAATAAAACAAAGAGTAAATAGGAAAAAGAGAACAAAGAATAAACAAAAAAGTCACCTCTTCTTTAAAAATAGGAGCTAAAACCATTTATACCATGTTTTCTCCTGTAGAAGGGCATCCGTGCCCCAAAGATAGAGATTAAAAAGGTTTTTGAAAAAATACTTTTCCCCAAGAGACCTGATATTTTACTCAACATCTAATGAAAGTCTCCGCAAACTAGTGGTATTGGGTTAATGACAAAACCACAACACCAGTTTCTGTAAATTGAGAAGATCGCACTCAAAGGACATGGTTTTGGGCCAATAGACCTCATCATTTAAGAGCAAGCTTTAATTTCATGATATACACAAGGAGTGTTTTCTCTCTCTCTCTCTCTCTCTCTACTGTATGTTCTTTTAATGGATCATGAGCATACATTTTACTGATCACAAGCACATAGATATGGCATACAACTATATATAACTTCCATCAGTAACAATTTGAATTCTAGATTAGAAACACACAAGTTAATAAGACCAAATCTCAATAAATAAATAATGTATATGATGTTTCAGTAACATACATCACATACTGTTTATATTTATTTTGTCTTATTATTACCTTGTGTTTCATCAGTTCTTTTCGCAATGGCAAAATGTTGGAAGGGCTTGCTGACTCATCGGTGGTTAAACTCTCCCAGCAATTTCACAAGTTTAATTTTTTAGACCAGGGGTTGGCAACCTGCGGCTTGCAAGCCACTCTTTGGATGTGAAGTTGCATGTAGTACTCACATTAATAAAAACTTTATTTATACGAATACTCATTTATATTGTTGGCAAGAAAAAATTTTGTGTGGCTCTTTAAAAACTTTGAAATTTTGTAAATTGTAATTTTTGACTCTTCTGACTCAAAAGATTGCCCCCTGTTCTAGACCACTCAATAATATATTGGGCTGTATTTTATGCTTATTGGACAATAAAAATGCTGTTTTTTAATTGAAGAAAAAATGAGTTCTCTGAATTCTTACACACAGATGGTGTGTTTAGTTATCTTAGTTTGAAACTTGGGGAGTTAAAGAAACTTCTGCTCGTGATAGTATTTTGTCATTTTGCATTGACTTTTTGAAGCTGACAATTATTTGGTTTATTGAAATAAAAAGATTTATATTTTTTAGGTTAGTTCTAAAATGCTGCCAAAATCCACATTTAGAGATCAAATATGTAAATATTTCTATGATGGCCCATCTGTTATAAGAAATATAAACTATTTTTGAAGCGTATGTTTCTTTAAAATAAAAACAATTTTATACCATCTTTACTAAAACAGCCTAATGCAATATTACAGCGGCATAGTAGTTGAAGGGTTCACCACTGATGAACCAGGCCCTCCCATTAATTTATCATTGCAGTAAGGGCAGTAGAAAATTGTTTAATTTGTTAAAAGAAACCTACGTGTCAAAATAGTTTAAATGAATATTTGTTGCTCTTCTCGATCTAAACAGCTAAAGAATCATTATAAAACTTCACAGGAAGGTAGTTTAACATAGATGAACATTTTGCATGGAGAGGTGATTTTATAGTTCAACATATAGGCAGGCTATTCAAAGTCTTTGTAAATAGGCCTAATGAACTATTTTGCATAATTTAGGAACATATATGCTTATGGTAATATATTGAGGACTTCCTATCATAACTAACACTGTAATAATAATCAACATTTGTGTGGAAATACAGCAGAACCTGGGCAAGGCTGGATTGCTTGTTTGAACTTACAAAATTAATATATACAGTTATCAGCGTCATGCACAATTCTTTCTTAATTCTGTCACCGTTTGCTTTTGGTTCAGTGGTAGAATGCTCGCCTGCCACGAGGGCGCCCCGAGTTCTATTCTCGGCCAATGCATTTTTTTTTTTTACAATTTTTAAAACTCATTTATAATATTAAAATATATGTGCTTTTCCTGTCTATGTACAGATTTATGGTCTATGTACACAAGTAGGTATACAAGTTATTTGCAAATTGCGTGGCAAATTTGCCCTTTCGCTCGCAAGCAGCACCTCTAGCGGTGAAGATGGGAGGTAATATCAGCTGACCTAATGAACATGTAAAACGTGTTTTAACAGGACATAGAGAAAAATCTGGAAAAGATATTTTTCGGATTTTTAGTCAAGAAAAATAAATTGACAGGTTCTGGGAAAAAAGTAGTTGTTTTTATTCAGAAAAGGATGATGAAAATATTGCTGTATCATATTTGATCATCAGATACAAAATTATATCCGGAAAAATTCCAAAAAGCAGAGACCACAGGTGAAGCCAGTTCATTTTTAGTATGCAGGAACAAAATTCTAACAGAAAAACATTCATTCGAGCAGAAGACACAAAGCCAGATCATCTCTTTATAAAAATATCGCTTCTCAGACACAAAGTTTGGAGCGGGACGTTTCACAAGAATGACATCCACGGCCCCAATTTATAATTGTAACGAATAGTATTTGAATAAAAGCATTTAATCGAGTAAAACCCGGGCATTGCCCTTTCTTAATCAATTCTGTCACCGTTTGCTTTTGTGAATGGAATAAATACCCAAATATGGCCGTTTCTCATAACCATCGGTGGTTCTGTGGTAGAATGCTCGCCTGCCACGCGGGCGGCCCGGGTTCGATTCCCGGCCGATGCATTTTTTTTTTTTTTACAATTTTTAAAACTCATTTATATATTATATAAGAATGACATCCACGACACCAATTTATAATTGTAACGAATAGTATTTGAATAAAAGCATTTAATCGGGTAAACCCCGGGCGTTGCCCGGATCATTCGGCTAGTTAGTTATAAAAACCATTAAAAATTAGAGGCTAAACAAACTTACATCTCTTGCTTTGTCTTTCAACTTCAGCCTTGAGTTTCTGGTATTTGTCAGTTCGGTACACAGAGAGCCAGGTGAGACCTACATCACACAACACTGGTCAAATAACAATTCTCTTCATAGAAATAATACATTCATGGAGGAAATGTTTACCTTTTAATTATTGAACAATATATATACTGCAATGTGAGTTAAAAGACAATCCATTGAATATGTTTTTAGAAAAAAAAAAGGCATACCTGGATCTGTTAAAGAAGAAACAATTTTTCTCAAAAATGAAGTTTATTGTACAATAAATTGATAAAGAGGGAGCAATCCCTCGAAATAATTTGTGAAAAAAATATTTTTTTCTTCAACAGATCCAAGTATGCCTTTTTTTTAAATATAGTGAAATGTTGCTAATCGCCTGTATGGCAACTTGACGGGCCAAGATCCCAGCTGAAGTTGGGGAAAGATGGATGGACTTAGCTGTGAAGATGGCCCACGTGAGGGGGGATAGTGCAGCACATTCCTATGTGGGGGTGTGACTTTGGCGGTGTGAGAAGAAGAGTGTCTGGGCATGTGACTGTGTGGATTGACCGGGAAGTCCGTGCCAAGGATGATC